CAAAAAGAGTCGTGAAACTGGTGGAAGAATATAAAGCAGTATTAACATTGGATGATGATCAAAAATAGTTTATACTAAAATTGTGCAAAAACGTAGAAAAATTTATCCAGATTGTAAAAAAAGTACACTACAGCAATATTAACTATCTTTAATTCTTTCAAAATAAACTTGTTTCAATAATGGCAAACAAAGAAATCGACTATGGATTGTTTTGAGATATTTTTTAATGATAAGCCTAATATTCTAGTAAATTATTTAGTTGCTATTCGCTAACTTACGTCTTTAGACGTCTAAATTATTTTTATTGAGTAAAAAGTTATTCTAGCTGTGTTGAAAGTAGATAAGAAGAATGTGTAATCAGTTTGCTTTAATGGCGAGGCAGTCATGTAAAGGAGTGTTTCTGGAGTTTAAGCGAGGTGTGAAAAATTAAACAGTAATATTGTAAATGTGATTGTTTAAACATTGGATTAGTTGATGCTTATTCACTAAGCAAGGGAAATAGATATATTTTCGAATTTTTTAGGGGTTATGCAATTTTGGTATATATTTATTGAAGGTAATTGTTCACGACACGTAACTTTTAAAACAATATTTAAAGAGATTAGTTCAACATTAAGAACATTAAACTCTCTTTTCTCGATTAAGTAGGTTTGTCACGCGGAAGCTGTTGCCATGATAAAAGTTAATTATTCAGTTATCCTTAAAGCTCTTACTCAAATTATTAAAATAACTAACATGGTTTATTACATAAGGAAAAATATTTTAATTTTATATTCGGGTTAACAATGATGTGCCCAATACTTCAGTTAATAGTTAAAGTAAGCGAATTGCTGCAAAATACCGATATTAATCTAATTAATGCTATGGACAGCATAAAGCCTCTTCGAGTAGTTTTTATAAATTTAAGAAATATTATAGAATTTCAAATATGTTCGTCTCAAAAACTTGAATTATTTTTGTTCCTAAAAAATGCCTGTACAATCAATGCAATATTTGTCGCAATAAGTTAAATATAAAAATATTTGAGCATAGATAACTCAAAGTCATTTCTTACATTTTATCATTAATATAACCGGTTTACAATCATAAATGTACAAATTAAACTATTACTATGTACTATTGTGCTGTAAAATAGTTAACAGTTACCGTATATCTTTGTTGTGTAGCGCGCGTAAAATTTGTAGTTATGTCTCTTAAACATAAATTGGTTTCATTAACAATTGTCGAAAAAGTGAATATAATAAGTGAGGTGACTAAAAGTTGAAAACTGAAAAATGATATAGCCAAGTAATATAATATTCTATCAATTATACTTTTAACTATTCTAACTATTTTAAAAACAACCCAAACACGTCACACTCTTAGTCCTAGTTATTTTTCTAAATTGTAAAAAATATACATATTTTGTATTTTAAAATGTAATCTTTTAATACATTTTATAATTAATTAATATATATATATATAGGAAATTAATTTTAAAATTTAATTTTTAATTGTAATTATAGTTAATAAACGTTTTTTTCGTATTTTTAAAAAAATCGAGTTATGTAAATCGAAAAATACATAAGTCGAATTAATTTTTATCTCCTTTAACATTCAAGTTATCGAGACTCGACAGTATTTTTTAATGAATCAAAAAAATTGTGCTTAAAACAAGAAATAGATATTTCATTAGTTGAAAAACAGAAAATATCAAGTCACTTCGATGAATCTGTTAAAACACAACATTATTAAGTAATTAGAAAAAATTTAAGAAGTTTCTGTTTTTAACAAATATTAGATAATATGGTTTAGTTATTAAATTTAAGATTAGGAAATAATAACAATTTTAAACGTTATAGGAAATATCTTGAATATAAAATTAAATAAAGAAAAAACCGCTATTTTAGATGAATTAATGACAGAAATATGATTATTAAAAGTAAATAATTTTGTCCTACACTATTTTCCACGAGAGGACAAAGGTACCGGACGCAAACCATAACAGATAGTTAGCTGTGCATAGGTTTGTTTACGCACTACGCACAGAACGTTAACATTGTTGTTTTAAATTTTGACTTTTTGTATAATTTAGATTTGTTTTTATAATTTTTAATTGATTTATGTTTAAAGTTTCAGTTTTATAAAACAACATTTTTCGATCATAGATGACGAAACTAATATTCCTAGATTTACTATTAAAAAAAAAAAATTAAATTAAGAAAGATAAGTATAATTTTATTTCTAAATATTTCTTAAAGGTGGCGGAGTAAAAACAACCACATTTGAGATAAGCGTAACTTTGAGAGGGGACATCGCACAATATTGCCGAACATCTCATTATTTAGTGAGTGACGGGAAGTTTAATTGCAATGGCGTAGTACAATATTCAATATCGTCAGTTTGCCGTAAAGACATTTTACCGAAACAATGAGTCAATTGAGGCTACACAACGCGCAATCTGCACGTAATTGATATCCATCCGCGTGCAGTTGATACTAACCGTAGACCTATTGTAAAATAGGTTAAGGATTTTTCCCCCCCAAAAAAGATCTTTCGCGTCTCGCATACCTTTTTATTTACAGAAAAACATAGTTCTAAAAAAAATAATACATTTTTTAATTAATTTGTTTATCACATTATGTATTTATGATGAGTATAATTTTATAAATTTTTTTTTCGTAATGAAGAGTAGTACACCTCACGTGTGCACTTTTTTCCTGTTTTGAATGATTATAGCACCTACATTGACGCCAATTTTCGTTGTTTTTACAAGGAGTTCAATAATTGTAATTTTTTCCGATAATTGTTTTTTATATCTACTGTTATGGGCCACGAGATATGTTATTAAATATAAGAATATATAATATAATATGTAATATTGCTATAAGTATTAGCAATAGTAATATAGCTATATATATGCGGCCTAATGTAATAATATAATATATTATATGACTATAATATATACGAGATAGTAAATTCATATTTCAATGAATCTTGTTTTAAAAACATCATAATAAACGTCGCAATAGCAGTCGTATGCCGAGGTCGATAATAAATACATTATTGCATTTCCATGAATTGAAAATTGGGAACAGATGACATCCTGGAGATTGTTGTTATCGATAAAACAAGTGTGAAAACAATTCCAAGAATAAATACGAATTGAAAAGTTATGGACTACAACAACAAGAGACTTCTTCCTATATAAGGGAGTCCAGAAACCAGCAAGGACAGATGTACCAGAGCCACAAAGATCTGAGCAACTTCACGACACTCAGCCACTTTTTGTATCAGTTATATGAACTTTATTTATACACAATAAAAACATTATTGTTCTTAAAAGTTGTAAATTTAATTTAAATAACACCCTGGACCTGGATCTGATATTGGCACGCAACATTACCATTGCTAAAAATCCATCTTACACATATATGAATATAAGAAAAAGAGTAGTGTAACAATAATATATATTATTGTGGAAATTTATCCATAAGGACCAGAAAACCTTCCCTGGATAACTAATATAGTAACTAGGTTCCCCAGCCACGTTACAATAGTATCTTCAAAGCTTCAGCTGAAAGAATTGGATATGTTTAATGAACTGATAACCAAAACTGTATCACATTATTGCCGTTAAATTTAAGTTTTAAAGATGTATAACAATTTTCACAACAGTATTCAAAATGCTTTGCGAGTTATCCGACATATGTTTAAATACTAAAAACATTCCTATGACTGTTGCAGTGATTCCAAAATGCATTTAGATTGACTTCGAGCAATTTAGTTATAACACTACTATTTTAACCACACTAGTACCATCCGTACATAATCCAACACATTTTAACCAATTAATACCTTTTTTTATTAATATAATTATTAGGGACATTATTGAAGATTTTCCTAGGCGTTGGGAAAGTGGCATCCCCACCGCCCAATATACTTATGGTATATTGCAATAGCCTCCACACTGACTTTAAGTAGTTGGTGTGGACTGGTCCTCCCGGTTGGGGGTTGAGCGTAGGGCTAACACCACGATCTTGGAAAAAACACTTGTTAAAAAATCTTCAAATAGGCCTCGGAATTATATTGAGTATGATTATGGTAAACGACTGGAGTTGAAAACTGGACTACGTTTGGGAACTTGGAATATTAGAACACTCAACAAACCGGGAGAATTTAAATACGTTTTAGATGCTAAAGACTGATATAAATTAGACATCTTAGCACTACAGGAAGTACTATGGCCTGATAGCGGAAACATTAAAATCGATAATACAACACTAGTTTACAGTGGGACTAACAATGGAAGGCATGAGAATGGAGTAGGTTTCATGATTAATGAAAAAATTCTTCATAACACCGGTTAACACCAATTTCACACTGGTAAATGACCGCATTTGCTACATTAAAATATCTGAAAGACGTTTTGATTTAATTATAATCAACTGCTATGCTCCTACGGAGGACAAAGTCAATGATAAAAAGGAAACGTTTTATGACAAACTAGAGACAGTGGCGAACAGCCTACTGACTCACTGTGTAAAAATGATAATTGGTGATTTGAATGCTAAAATAGATAGAGAAAACATGTACAGACCCATAATAGGACTAGATAGTTTGCATGAAATAAGTAACTACAATGGTAACAATCAGTAGTACTTACTTTCCGAGAAAAGATATTCACAAATACACCTGGGTTTCTTCAAATGGTCAAGTTCACAATCAGATAGATCATATAATGATAAATAAAAGACACGCCAGTTATATCAGAAAGGTGGGAACTTTTAGGGGAGCGGATGCTGACTCAGACCATTACTTATTATTTGCACAGTTTAATCATAGGCTCTCTACAAAATGAAATATGGTGAAAAAATCAAACAGAAAAATGTATAATATACAAAAATTAGAAGATTCTGAAGTTCAAAAGAGATTTGTTAAAATGATACAAGAAAATATTCAAATAAACCAACCAGAAAACAAAACATAAACAATTGACTTCCTTTGGTGCAATCTAAAAGAAGCAATAACCAACAGTACTAGAGAGCATTTAGGTGTTGAAAAAAGAAAAAAGCTAAAGAATTGGTTCAATAATGTATGCAAAGAAGCAGTGGATAAAAGAAACGAGTTAAGAAAGAAGGTACTGCAAAATCCATCAACTAGCGATACTGATAGATACGAAGCACAAAGAAAGATCACAAACAAGATAATAAGAGAAAAGTGTATATATGAAAAGTGAATGATTGAAGACCTGGAAACAAACAGATATAATCCAAAAGCATTCTTCAATTTAAGTGGCAACATTAAAAAGGGCTATAAACCACTAACGAAAATATTAACAAACAAAAGCGGAAATCTCATCACTGAAGAAAAACAAATAGTAAACGAATTTAAAGACTTTTTGAAAAATTATTAAATATTAGACAACCTTACGACAATGAAATTGAAGAAATAGATTATGACACAGTGGAAACAGAAATCGAGAAACCTACTCAAAATGAAATCGACGCGGTAATTGATGGTCTCAAAAATAATAAGGCATCGAGTGATGATGGTGTGGTTGCAGAATTGTTAAAAAGAGGAGGTTTACTGCCATGAAAGGAGTTAACAGAAATCATTAGGTGTATATGAAGAGTAGAAAAAATCCCAGATGAATGGAACACGACTATAATTTGTCCTTTATATAAAAAAGGAAACCCGACAGTAATGGAGAACTTTAGAAGTATTTCTTTACTTGACGTAGGTTATAAATTCCTAACAACGATAATCTTAGAAAGAATAAACATATACGCCAAAGACATTATCGGAAGTTACCAATGCGGTTTTCGAAAAGGTAAATCTGACCACATCTTCGTGATAAGACAAGTGATGGAAAAATATTATGAATTCAATAAGGATCTACATTTATTATTTATTGACTTCAGACAAGCTTATGACAGTATAAGAAGAAAGGATCTATGGAAAGGTTTGGAACTACTCGGAATACCAAAGAAGTATATAAATCTCATTAAAATGTGTAATAAGAAGACAATTTGTAAAATACGATACTTACAAAATTACTCGGAAACATTTGAGGTAAAATCTGGTCTACGCCAAAGAGATACCCTCTCTCCCACATTATTTAATCTAGCTCTGGAAAAAATAGTAAAAGATACAAACGAACAACGGAACATGGACATAATTGGAGAGTCGGTAATTTTAGCTTACGTGGATGATATCGTAGTATTAGTGAAGACGAAAGAAGAAATTGTTCAAACAACCGAGAAACTGATTAAGGCAAGTAAGTCAATGGGCCTATGTATAAATGAAAATAAAACTAAGTATATGATGATGTCAAAATACAAACGATCTCTTAATTAGTAACATGAAATTCAAAGCAGTGGATAATTTTAAGTACCTTGGAGTAAATGTCAATAATAAGAATAACATGCATCAGGAAGTGAATGAAATAATTATGTGTGGGAATAGGTGTTATAAAGTATAGTCAAAATACTAAAATCAAAATTACTTTCAAGGTCATCAAAAATTCTTCTCTATCATAGATACATGCGCTCAATTGTAACATATGCTTGCGAGACATGATCCTTAACAAAAGGCGATGAAAGGAAATTATTAATATTTGAGAGAAAAGTCCGGAACATCTATGGTCCACATTTTAACCAAGAAACCAATACCTACGAAAGAAGAAAAAATGTTGAATTACAGAAATTATACAACAGACCAAATATCCTAGCGTTTATTAGAAACAAACGGCTAGAGTGGTTTGGTCACACTTGGAGAGCAGATGGACTACTAATAAAAAAAGTACTTGTTGAGAAAATTAACAAAACAAGGCTCCTGGGAAGACCAAGAACCCGGTGGATAGATGTAATAAACAGAGACCTGAGAGAGACTAGCCAAAATTTAACATTTGAGCTGACGTACAACAGAGATAAATGGCGAGACCTTTTGAAGGCAGCAATGGTCTTTAACGGACCGGTAGGCTGATAAAGAAGGTGTCCCGTCAAATTATCGCGATAATATTGTCGCGGTAATAATATCGCTGAAATAACATCGTGGTTAATTTCATAGCATATCAATAATCTCGCGCGTCATTATTATCGCAATATTTATTATTTAAAAGATAGCAATAATTTGTTTGCTTTGTACGAACGCTCGTACACGGCAGTATTCGTTTGGTAATATAACACAGCACACAGCCTGCACTATGGAGTATATTACCAACCAAAAAGGTGGAATATTACTAAAATATAAATCTTTCTTATACCAAAAAGAACGTGAAACAACAGATAAAATTATTTGGAGGTGTTTAGAATACACAAAAAAAAAATGCCGTGGACGTTTACATTCTTCTGGTGAAGTTGTTCTTCATACAACCGATCATAATAATCACGTTCCCGACATAGGCAAAATTGAAGCAAAAGAGGCTATCCAAAAATTAAAAGAAACGGCAAAAAATACGCAACTAACAACTCACTGTGTTGTGGGGACTATAACATCTGAAGTAAATTTCATTGCACATTTTTATTACCATAATTTTATTTTTTTATTTTATTAGACAATAATTTACATAATATTATAGATTACACAAAGCGCAGCAGGACAACTACCGAGTTTAAATCAATTAAAGCGTACTGTTCAACGAATTCGAAAAATCGAAACATGTGCTCCACCTATTCCAAAATCGTTAAACGATCTTATAATACCAGACGAGTACAGGAAAACAACAAGTGGTGAGACTTTTTTACAGTATGATAGTGTTAATTATGACGGTTACCATGATAGGTTTTTAATTTTTACAACTGAAACAAATTTAAAGTTAATGCAAATATGTGAACATTGGTTGGCGGATGGCACTTTTTCATGCTCACCTCATATTTTTAATCAACTTTACACAATACACGGAGTTAGTTATTCAAATGTCGTACCAACTGCATATATTTTACTACCAAATAAGAAAGAAGAGACTTATAAACGCATGTTTCTTGCATTAAAATCCTTACATCCACAACTCAGTCCAAAATCTATTATGTTCGATTTCGAAAAAGGTGCAATGAATGCTGCAAAATGTGTATTTCCTTCAGTCGATATAAAGGGCTGTTTTTTTCATTTATGTCAAAGTATTTGGCGACATATACAGTCCAACGGATTACAGTCCAAATATTCAAATGATTCCGATTTTGCTCTTAATTTGAGAAAACTAGCTGCACTTGCTTATATTCCAGAAAATGATGTATTGTCCGCCTTTGAAACTTTACTCGAATCTCAATTTTACCAACAAGAAATGTTATCAAATTTAATTGATTATTTTGAAGATACATGGATCGGTAGACCTAATCGTAGAACTAGAAGAGCCCCTTTATTTTCAATTAAAATTTGGAATTGTTATTCAATGTTAGACGATGATATTCCACGAACAAACAATTCGGTTGAAGGTTGGCATAATTCTTTTAATTCTATGCTAAGTGCGCATCATCCATCGATTTGGGCATTCATTACTGCATTAAAAAAAGAAGAAAGTTTAAACCGTTTCAAAATTGAACAATATACTGCAGGATTTGAACCACCAAAGAAAAAAAAATATAAAGATTCCACAATAAAACTGAAGAAAATATGTGATGACTATAAAAATAGATCAGTTGACGACTACTTACGTGGTATATCACACCATTTCCAATACCAACAAATATAAATTAAATTAAAATTATATATATTATGACTTAACTTATAATGAAAATAAAACGCTATTATTGATTATATATGACTGTACTAATTATTTTGTATTATAATATTTTTTTTACTTAAATTGTAACGAATTCTATATTATTGCGATATTTTTGTACCAACGACATATTTATTTTTACGATATTTTTACCGCGATAATATTGCCGCGATATTTTTACCGCGATATTTTGACGTGTATCCGATAAAGAAGAAGATTGAAGATTTCCTCTAGTACCTTGAATGATTGGTTCACATAACATTATAACAACATAAATTCATGTGGGTCGTTCATACATAATTTTGAATATAAGTAGTTGGCATAAACTTTGAACGTCAGTTAATTCATCTAGTTGTAATGAGAAAAAATTACTTTTATTAACTCTTTGAGTTAACTGATCTTCTGTACATTGAGATATTTTATTGATTCTACAAGCAACTTTATCATTTGATAGTAGGGTCATTTAGACGCCTTTTGAACCCTAATCATCAAATATCTACACATATTAAATATATCTCTACCAGCTTTTGTGGTTCATTAACTTATCACGTATGAAGGTTACAAAGGTTTTTTGTTGAATTTGATAAATTGTGTAACTTTTGTTCTGGACGTTTTAAATTTTTTTAAGCTTTGTTTCTAAGTAAGAGAGTGGGTGATCTTTCAGATCAGAATGTTTGGTTACAATATACCGATATATTTATTCGGGTGTATACTTTTGTTTGTAAGTACTTCATATAAATAATATATTATGGCCGTGGATTGTCATCATCTTCATTCAAAAAAAAAAAAAAAAAAAAAATCAATTTTTAGGTACTCTAAATAATACTTCCTTGATACTTTTTTTCGTCTTGAATTTGTCAATTTTAAATTTGAAGTTGAAGATTCCGGTGTACTATAACTGTGAATTCATCGTGGCCATTTTATAATACATAATCTAAACTCCGCGTTCAAAATTGTTTTTACAGCTCAACTGCGCATTTAATTTTTTTAACACTGTAATTCAGCACTTATTTTTAAATACAATATATGTTATTGAAAAAAAAACATTTGTATCAATTAATTTAAATTTATTTTTTATTTTTTAAATCTAAATAATAATACTTAACTAAAAATTAATTATCTAATAAAAATTGAATAATACGAGTAAAAACAATTTACAAATACAATTAAATGTAATAAAATTCTGATGTTTATTAAAATTAAATATTTAAAAATAAAGCTAGACTTTTTACGAAATTATGTTCATCAATTTGTTCGTTGTTTTATAATTCTATTTTTTTATTTATAAATTCCATATTAGTTTTTCGTTGAGTTCTAATTATCCTACTTTCAATATCAATGGCAGAATTAATTTGTGTGTAAGAATCTATCTACATAGCTAATACATTTTTAATGAAAACTGCAATATTTGAATGTACTGAAGTAAATAAATAATCAAATTTTGCATGAAAAGGCTCACAGTTGTTTTTTATTCTCTCCAATGTTGCTTCTTTTCTGGTCCAAACACTGTGTAGAAACGTAGCAAGGATTTCTGTAACGTTTCCTCGGGAATAGTGTGAAATATTTTCGTTATTTTCGTTCTCTGTAGCGAGCGGCGAATACTTGTTAGCCGTTATAAAAATAGATTTATTTTTTTAGGTTCTGGGTCATCGGTAGATGAGTGGTTACGTTTGGATGTAATCCCCGTGGGTAATGCTACTTAGATTTCATCCATTTCAACAAATTAATTAAATACGTCACTTGATGCACTCTGTATATAATTTTTTGTAGGGCTATTTTGAGATGTTGATAGACTAGGTATCGATTGACTTGATTTATATTTATTGATAGGTGGTTTTGGAGTCATTGTGTATATTGATAGTTAATGACACTGCGATGCGATAATGGTGTAGACCAGGGGTCACCAATCTACGGCCCGCCAAGCTAATTAATGTTTTGAAAATAATATATTAATTTTCATTGTTTTTAATTTATTTTTTATTAAATTGATTAATAAATTAAAAAATTATATAAATAAACATACATTTTTTTAAATAAATCTCATCTATTCTTATTTATTTCTCAATTTCATAACCTATCAGATATTCTTAGAATCCTAGATAGACAACATTTTTTTTTTTAGACAACACATTTCTAAAAATGTTGGCCCGTGATGCCAAAGCGTATATCAAATTTGGCCCGCCGTAAAAAAAGGTTGGAGACCCCTGGTTTAGACTAATCACCGCCGGCTGTTTGATAGCCGGTATGGAATGGTCGTGTGAGTAGATAATTGGTAAATAATTATAATTATAAATGCTCAATTTTTTTAAAATTATCGACAAGGTTTAGATTTTTTGATGTGTTTAAAAACAGTTTAATGTAGAGATTTTCATTACGCTTTTAATGATGTAAAATGAAACATTTTTTATTTCATTTTGGTTAAAATAACACGGATTTATGCGGAGCGATGTACGAAACACGTGTGTAGTGAACAGTGTACGCAGCGTGACTCAAATGTAAAAATTTGGGTCCGCTTAAGTTTGTAAATAACTATATCCATACAAACAATAATATTAATAATAAATAATATGATTGATATATATCTAAAATATCTACTGATGATAAGAATGCATTTTAAATAATCACAACTATCCAAAAAATTAAACAAGATAAATTTATTTTTACTATGTTATCCATTACAAGACTAGAACTGACCGCAATAAGTCTAAGAGAAAGAAAAAAAAAACATTGATAAGTATTATATACCAAATAAAGTAAGAGATAAAATAACTGTCTGCTTAAAAATATTTTGCTAAGAAGCTACGTTCAATACAAGACGTCTTAATATCTTATCTAATAAATTTCTAAAAACTGTTTCAAGCCTAAAACAAAAAAAAAATAAAGGAGGTGGAAATAAAAAAAATCAATATTTAGATGGAGTTACAAGTATTATCGAATTTAATTCAAAATTAAAGCAAAAAATCACTATGCTCGAAATGACTTTAGTCCAGTGGTTTTCAATCTTTTTAGTATCGCGTCCCAAATTTCTCCCGAAAAATATTTCGTGACTCACATGGTTTCACTTATCAAAAAATAGTTGAATAAAAAAAATTTGTAAATTTTTAAATTAAAGAAAAATATAATAATAATAATAACATAATAAAATGTATTTAATAGGTACTATTTTTAGGTTTAAATTACTATTTTTATTATTGTATAGGTGTATAATCAATAAATTTTTACAAATGTACTTTTTATAATAACAATATAACATAATTATTAGGGCTCGGAAGTTGATGCATTTTGCATTTTTTTTTTGGAACTTTTTAGACGATGCTCTCCTGGTCACAAATCTGTTTCATAAGCATGTGAATCTAAATAACTAATTTTTATTTTGAATTTTTAGCATTTTTTGGTGTTTATTACTTTTTAAGTCATTTTTTGAGAGTTTTAGGTCATTTTCCCACATTTTTAGTTATTTTTACTGATTTCACACTAGTTAATTTCTTATTGTTTCTTGTTGACCATTATGCCGATAACTTAAACCACAGATATTTATAAAACAAATATTTTTAATTTTTTAATTTTCCTATTTTAAGGACATTTTTGTCATTTTTATGTCATATTTTGAATTTTAGAGTAAAATATTTAAAAAAAATGTATTTTTATTAATATAAAATTAATATTTGTAGATTTTTTAGGTCATTTTTTTAGGACATTTTTTGCCATTTTTATGGGTATTTTTTATTGTTTTTAAGGTCATCAACTTCCGAGCCCTAATAATTATATATTTCATATTAATGTAACATATATTTATTGGAATCTGTATAATTCAAATATTGTTCGCGATCCACAAAAATTGACTGACGACCCACAGTTTGAGAAACACTGCTCTAGTCTAGTCAAAGTTACTTTAACATCTCTAAGTAAATTTCATTCAATTTTCACTAAGCATTTTTAATTGGATTTTAGTCAGAATTATCAGTAAAAAAAAAAAAAAAAAACCCGTAAAAGGCAGTAAAAAGAAAAAAACTAAGTATCAAGTTAAAGTTTCATAAAAATTTCTCAGGATTATGTTAAATGTCAAGCCAAATTTAGTAAATGTGTCTCTTAATATGACGCAGAATCAGGCGATTCCAAAATTATTTGTAACAGATATACTTTTTAGCAGACAGATAAGGCTCTACAATCTGACGTTTGTAATTATTAAATTTTGCAACTCTGAACTAAGGCATGAAAATTTCATACTTGGTTTTGAAACTAAAAATACTTGTGGACCAAATAAAGCATGCTCTACACTTCTCCACTTCTTACGCATATTTTAGGCCCATGTTAATAAAGAGCCAACCATTTAAATATCTGTATTGAATTCATTTTATTTTTGTTCGGCACAGAAAAAAAACCAATTTTTTGTTGCAACTTAATTATATTTTATAAATACTAAAAATACAATATTTGAATAAAGTAACCATATATTTCCATTCAGGGGTCATAGCTCCATAGTTCAGGCTAGGCCAATTAAAAAATGTCTGTGTAAAGCAGAAATAATAGTCTCGCCTCACCATTATTATGATAATATATTCAAAAAAAAATGTACTTTCGTGCATGTTTTAAATAAAAACTATGTTATCTATGATATAAAAAATATTGTGAAAACTTTTATGAAACTAAATATTATTAAAACCAAAGAATAAAAAGTTTTTATATATTTTAAAGGAATGAAAACGATTAGTGTGTCATCAGACTATGACGGGAACCCGAAAAAAACTCATGCTATTTCTATACTTAAAAGATAAATAAGCATTGGATAAAAAAAAAAGTTAGCAAAAGTAAATTATGTTAAGTTTAACAAACTACGTTAAAATTATAATGCGTTTCTAAGATATACCAGAAGAGACAAAAGAGGCAAGAGTTTTTATGTGACATTTTCAAACCGAATGAACCTAACACGAATTATGATGAAAATAATATTCATGTATATAACGAAGATT